AGGGAGATAAAAGGACAGATGTCTTTAAGTCGAGCTATGTACCACTTTCGGGTTGCTATAGGGTGTGAGTTTATAGAACTTTGGGACGTGGTTGGTTGCTTGGTGTTGCGTGGATGGCGCCTACTTGGGCGATTTTAGAGTCATGGTGTTGTTTTGGTCATGTCATTATAAAGGATGTAATGGTCGTTTCGTTTCTGCCATTGTACTTTCTTTGTATGAACACTTGCCATTATAAACACATGGACACACAACTTACCCCTATGAACACCACTAAGAGATTGGGCTAAAAAAATTAAGATTGATGAAGTCATCACAGGCTCCTTGTAGTCGATGAAAACATCATTTTACTTAAGGAACGACATCACTGAAAAAGGCTAAAATAAATTCAGAAAAATGTGAGAGCTCGCGCCAGCTCTAAAACTTAATCATCTTTGGACGACTAGCAGCACAAGAAACCTGAGCATCTCAGGCTCTCAGCTAGGCTTGTTTGCGCAGTGGCTTTGGTGACGACTTCATGCGAAGCTCCGTGAATGGTTGATGTTTGGTACGTACAACCACACACATGTATTTGTGTATGTATGTGGTTTGTATACACATGATTTGTATGCATCAAGGCAGGTGCACACGCGGAGTCGTGTCCGTCCTGGCGTCCACGCATATTTTCCCGTCTCCTCGTCTTATCTGTTTACTCCCTCTCCAAAGAAATATAAGTGTTTAGAACACTAAGTAGTGATCTAAAAACTCTTATATTTCTTTGCAAACTGAAACCTGTTAGGTATTCATATCATTTGGGCTAAAAGACCCATTGAAATACCAACTTGTAATTGATAAAAGAAGAAAAAGGTTACTATGGTGCCTACGGAAAATTGGAAAATCCTATTCCCCACCCCATTACGGGGAACAATTCACGTTTGGTATGAAATACACACCCCTTTTTGGCCAAAAAATTTATTTACAATTTTTCTACTCCCCCCCCCCCTGTCCCATAATATAAGAACACGCTCTTATATTATGGGACGGAGGGAGTACTTTTCTATCTTTTTATTTTCGTTTCTTTTTTTTACCTTTCTATTATTCAAATTCATTAACATTTTCTAAACTAGATGATACCCCACTCGATGCTGCGGGAATTGGTTGATGAAATTTGGGCTCATATTAAAACTACATATAACTTATTATATTTGATTATGTATGGTTGTAAAAGTATTTATTGAATATAAGTAGAACAATTGAGTGAGAAACATTTTCCCATGCATGGTTGAATGTTGTGCTGTCTCTTTCCTATGCAGGATTGCATGTCGAGGTGGACCTTATCCCATTCATGGTTGTATGATGAGGTGACATGCTTGCATGTTAAGATAAATAAGTTGGTTGAAATGACTCTCTTAGGTATATAGGGTTCATGATTTTTCTCTCTTAAATTTCGTATATTTTACAAATTTTTGTACTTTTTTCAGATTCAAGATTTTGTTATAATTTGTGATTTATATAAATTCTTTATTATTTTTTAGAACTGCGAACTGTTTTGTAAATTGGGTAATATTTTTACAAAATTTAAATATTTTTAAAAGTCATGAAAACCTTTGAAATTTTCATGATCATATAATTAGCAAACATTTTTTAATTTCTGATTTTCTAAATTCATCAAAAATTACACAACCATTTTTAATTTGTGAATATTCTTAAAATTCAAGAATATTTCTGTAAAATTCATGACCATATTAATAATTGTTGGGTATTTTTTCTGAATTAATGAATATCTTTTAAATTCGTGTCATTTTTTAGCATATTAGAAATCTTCAAACTAGGAACCTCTTTTTCAAAATATTGAACTTTTGAAAAAAATATTCATTTTTTTAAATGCATAAATATTAAAACAAAACAATGTTTTTTTACAGTTGTCAAAAAGGTTTCTAAGTGCATGCATGTTAAATTCTGAATTAATGAATAGTATTTTAAATGCTTTTCTTAAGTTTTCAAAAAGAATGTTTTTTTAGATGAATTGAATACATAGTGGATGACGGCTTTCCCCGCGAGCAAGTTAACACATACATACATGTACTGTACTGTACTGTACACAACGAGCGGTCAATCTTTTTGTACATAAAGTCAACTTTTTAGGGATAGTGTAACGCTTTATTGCTCAATCACATTGGGTACAATAGCAATGGCAAGGGAGTTTGGAGCTAGAGATGGCGTCGATTAATAACATTAATGCAATTTCGAGCTAGATCATGAGCAAGAGTGTTTGACAGTTGTCCTTCATGTAGAAGCGAGCTTCAATGAAGTCTCTCGCACGATGGTTGATCTTCATCAGGACGATGTAGTAGCTAGAACGGGTTCCATTGTCAATTGCATTGACAACCTCCAATCAACCGGAAGTAGTCAAACACCTTTGGATTTGCAGCCCACTGCTAGAGTAAGAGTTTCAAGGGATGCTAGGGCTTCTAAGATGGATGGATCCGAAATTCCCGAGTAGGCTAGAACGGGAAAACCCACGTACAAACCATTAGGGTTTCAACAAATGGCAGGCTCCACTCTGTGATTCTCAATTATGGATACATCATCATCGAGGATCAGATTCCTTATATGCAAGGCGATCCAACTACAGTATTATTTTGAGTCGAAGGGTGGTCCAACTAGACAACGAAGGAAAGGGTTTACAAGGCCCCGCCATTGGTCGTCCGCTGGACAAAATGGATTCCATTTCAGCCAGGAAGTTGCCAGTGAAAATGATAAACAGAAATAGGGGAGAATCTCTTCTTGGATCAGCTTTTTTCTTCTTTCTAGCAATGATGGGCCGGTCTATACAGTGGCCATTCGTATCATATCGGCCAGATGAACCCCATTGGATGGAACTCAGTTCCTATTATGTGCCTTAAGAACCGGTTACAACACAAATTGCTAGCCGGCGCACGCACTGCGTTTTTCTGGGTGGTTTTCTTATGGTATTCCCTCACATGGGTTATTGCCGATTTTATCATTTTTATTTTATTTTCTCAATTTTTTTCCTTTCTTTTTGGTTATATTTTTATTTATCTTTAGCTTTTGGTTTTAGATTTATTATTCTTTCTTTTTTTCATTTTTAAGCTGTGATTTTTTTCCAATTTTTTGTACATTTTTTGAACTCCGTGAACTTCTCTCAAATTCCAGAACTTTTTTTTGAATTATGATTTTTCTCATCTTTGTGAATTTCTTTTTTCAGATTCGTGAACTTTTTTCATTTTTGTGAATTTTTTAGTTGTGAACTTTTCAAAGTCATGAACTTTTATGAAATTTGTGAACTTTTGTTTTTGAAAACTGGGAAGTCTTTCAATTCATGAATTTTTCAATATCGATTAACGTTTTTCACATGCACATACTTTTTAAAAATTAGTGAACTTTTTTCAAAACCATTCACTTTTTTAAGAAATTTGTGAACTACTTACATTTTTGTGAACTTTTTTCAAAACCATGAAAGCTTTTTTTGCAGTTTTTTTAAGCAAAAAACCAATTAGAGGTTTGATTCTCAAAAGAAAACTGACCAGAAACTCAAAACTATTCCTACTCGCCATGTGGATTTATCAATTTGAGTTTAAAAAATAGGAAAAATGGCATTAAAAGTTCTGTCCTAGCAATGGCTCTTATATTTGAAGGGTAACCCAGGCATCCATCACTCTCCTCCCAAAGAAGAAAGAAGATGCCATCACCGTCGAGGATTGCAGGCTTCGAGCGAAGGGGAAGCTAGCATGAAAGGTGATAACAATAATAATAATCTTTCATCCAAAAAATTCAGAATTGGTAGTGTGGATTTTATTCCATGCATCATTTTTCTTTTGAGAAAGGAAAAGGGACAAGAGTTTTCTTGCTGGGTAATTTCTTATAATTTTGTTGTGTTGTTGGTTCCTATTCCTAGGTGTTGTGCTTTACCCCGTATCCATTGGTTCCTAGGCATCTTGTCTCTAGCTCTGTTCTCTATCGGTAGTCAAATCAGTACTTTGTCTTTGCCTGTCTCTGTCCATTCCTTCAACACTGATGGACTCAGAGTGTCATAACCCCTTTATTAAGAAGGAAGACCTAAAGCGAGGAGATAGAATCGAAAGAATGATCTCCTGGCAGATCC